TGTTTATCAAAGATTTCAACCGGAGGGATTAATCTTTTAAATTAAGGCTTTCAAAAAAATCAATCAAAATATTAAATAAAATTAAGTTCAATATCTATATGAGTAAGTTCAAATAATATTATATATATATGATCCTCTGTAAGTAGAACATAGTTGACAAGGTTCACATACAATCGTATGTCAATCTTAACCCAATCTTTTACAAGCAAAATGTAAAGTTGAAACGCTTTAAATCAAGCAACCAAAACCCCTGATGATGGTCGTGTTGATAAAAGATTTCAACCGGAGGGATTAATCTTTTAATTAAGGCTTTCAAAAAAATCAATCAAAATATTAAATAAAATTAAGCACTTAAAAAGCTAAAAGAACAAAAAAAATCATTCATCATTCGCAATAGTTTGTCGAGGGTGACAAACTTTTGATTTACTTCAGTTCACAAAGAATGAATGTAATATCAAATGTATTTATATATCCACAATCAAAGAAATTACATGTTAATAAGGATGTGGCCAAAGTCCTCTGTCAGCGTGGTTCTGTTGTCAAATGACACCACAAAATAACGATTACGACCAAAAGCCTTTGACCGGGTGGTTGTCATCAAATGATACAATTACTGTCACTGTCGTGCAACCCATGTGCTCCATAATAAATTTCTACCCTTTGAGTTGTGAACCATAGAGTACAATTAATTGGCACAAAGCATTTAATTAGCTAAGTTCGACTTAAATTTATCCTCTTAGGCAAACATCCACCCCAAATCTACAAAGACCCTTGGACGACGCAACCCATAGTTGTTGACAATGATCATTCAGTCAGATTGGGTCAACTACCTCCTCTGACCAGTAGATCAGGGGCAACAACAACCTGGAATTAAGTAAACATGAGATCTTGATCGAGGTTTCGTCTTCATTTCCCCACCATCTATTTAAACTTCAAGTGATAGATTTTATAATTTAAAGTGTATATCTGCTACTATTATATGTTGAATATTCAATTCTTAACGACTAACCTTAATTAAAAGTGCTCTCCTGCTATTAAGAGGGGTAATTAATTATAAGTATTTGCGTCTATGGAAAACCTCGAACCCCATATCAAAAAGTCCTTGAAAAATGAGGGTAAAATCTCTGGGTAGTGTCTTATCTACAATTCAATCCACATTCTGAAAATTTGACCCTCCTAAGCTCTCTTAACAACAAAAATATATATATAGAGCCTTGGGGAGTGATCGGAATTTTTAGAGCCCACACACATTATCTTGAAAATATAAGCATTTCTCATCCAAAATGGATCACATTTTGATCATATAACCATGGTTATTAAAAAGATATGTGCTACATCTATTGGTAAAACATCACATCATGTATTATCATTATAACTTCCTCGGTCAAACAGAACAGCTTTTGGAGAGCACTTATATAATATATGGCCATTTTGGCAACATCTAAAGTAGGTGAAGTCCTTGTTCGAGTTGCATATATGCAGATTTCCTTTAGCTATTTTAGAAGCCGTCTAATTTGAAGGGATGTACTCATGTCACGTTCAGATAATTTCCTATATTCTAAGCAAATAGAGCAATGCTAATTTATATTGTGCATAACCTAATAATTTTGGGGCATGCCAATTAGCATATCTTTGTAGCTCAAGGCTTTAGCCCATTAACGATAAGGCTCCTCAGAAAGATTACAATAAGTGACAAGTTTCTCAAACATTTTTCAAACTAGTTTTCTCTTTAATATACTAAACATTTTTTTAGAGCATTCAATGCATTGCATTATTGTTATGAGAACCAAAAAGTGTGTTGAACAGACAATTGATGGGGTGATCTAATGAGCCTATGAATGCAATTGTCATCAACAAATCCAGTAGATAGTGCATAAGGGCTACGGTAATAAAGCGTGACGGTTGCACAAGTGATGCAAAAGAAACTGCCGAATCACATGTAAAGGCAAGCATGGGAAACTGTAGCAAGAACAATCACGATGAGGTCTGAAAGTGAGGTGCAAGTACGCAACATAGTGTTGTCGTGAGTAAAATGAGTGATAACCCTCTTAGTAATGGAACTGTTAGCAATAAATAACAAACAGTTCAGCTCAAACCTAACACCTTCGAAAATAACCATCTCTACACATTATATTATAGATCCCTTCACTCACTACTAACACTAAAAAAGTTGTATATCCACGAAGGAGAGATAAGTAGATAAAGATAGAGATGAGAAAGAGAAAAATATGAATTGGGAGAGGAGACCTCGTACATGTCCTCTTCCTTTTGATTGAGTCATTCTATGTATTGTTATACAGTTGATGTATTATGGCCTTAAATGACACCCATAACCTTATTGAATTGCCATTTCACCTCCTCCTAAAAATGTAAATCCATTTTCTCTCTTTTAATCAAGTCAAAGTCATTAAAAAATTTGGCAAGCACTTCCTTATGATCTTTCCCTTATAACCATACCTAAACTCTTCAAACCCCTCAAAATCTCTTCCAAACTCACATCACCGTGATTTCCCTTCCTCTACGACATGAAAGCCCAACAGTAGGGCCTCCCTCTCCATTTCTTGGACTACCACATGCAAATTTATAAATAATAAGTTTAAATTTTTAAATCACTAGTAAATGAAAAATTACATTTCTCTTGTATATTGTGTGTTCTTGTGTACCTCCCCCTCTCAAGCAAATAGAAGATCTTTGAAGAAAGATTCCCATGGAAGAAAGAAGATCTACACATCAAATATTAACGGGAGTCAACTTCAAGATATCTCCGCCCTGCCCAAATAATTGTTCACTCCATTACAATTAGTCTATTCTATCCATGACACCATTTTCTTCAATATCTTATAGGCAAGCAATCTAGATTGGTTATTATAGTCCATTGCAAAACATCATAGTTTCCCCATGTTCTTCTTAGGGTTGCTTTGGTGATTCCCTTGTTGGTGCATTTTCCTTAGCTGAAGTAATAATTCCTAGGAAATTTTGTTTTTTGCATTGTATAACTAGTGTTGAAATTGTCCAACATTAATAACCCTACTTACAAGAAAATGAAACAAGAGGCAAAAATAAGAAAATAACTAATGAAATAAATGTAAAAAAGGTAGGAAATTAAGAAGAATGGAACATATACAAAATAATCGTGAAAAAGAAATCTCCAAATAAAATAGAAAAACGTTAAATCAATCACCTCAAAAAGTTATAACGAATGCTTATTGCTACAGTTATATTTCTCAAAAAGTAGATCCAGCCAGATATGCATATAGAATGGAATGGAACTATCTTCCTAAGTTTTGTGGAGCAATCCAGAAGAAATAAGCACATCTGGAACATCTTTTTCCTAGTAATTGCACTCATTGCAACCTAACTTTCTACACAATTCAAGGTAAACTTTCAAAAGTTAGTTAAATGACCATTGTCAAAAAGTAGAGCAAACACAAGAACTTGGCTAGAAATCAAGCTGCGACTCCCTGTTACGTTGGACCCTCAAGCAGAGCAACATGCCGCGCTAACCTAATACCAGACAACTTCATATATATGAATTAAAATAGTAAATACAGGATGTTTGTATCCCGCACAAACCTTTGAGTTGTGACTAAGTAAAATATAAGAACAATGAAGTTTTAAAAAATCTTGATGCTTTAATGAACTTAATTGTGAATTAAAATTGTTTCAGTACATTCAATTATCAATAAAATTATCTAGCAATATGCAATGGTTGCAGATCTTGCTAGTCATCTCACCTAGCATATCCATACATTATTTTCATTTTATTCAGCTAGCATCACAGTATTGTCATGATAATCGATGCATCTAATGAAAGGATAAATGCCCTTGCTTATGGTAATCTTTGTCAAAATATAAAGTAACAAACTGCAATGCCATCCATCATTTGCCAAAAGAAGGTAGAAACTATACATCCCAATATATATTTGCCTTTTCTGTTGCATTAAGAGGGGAAATTGATTGCTTTTTCATTTTCTTCCAGATCAATCCTCTTTTTCCAATCCTCTTTATCATTGTCTCCTTATACTACTTAGGTTTTCTTCCTCTTCCTCTTTTTGACTCAAATATATGTTAGTCAGACTAAAAACAAGACGAAATGATGGGAAGCAGAATGGAGAGGGAAGGATAAATGGGAAGAAAATATAAATGCATTGAGTTTATGCCTCATTTGAAGATGGGCATTTTTTTTAAGGATTACAGATCTACTGCCTCCATGGCTAATTTTGGTTTAATAAATATACAAAAAAGTGGATGCTTCATCGCTTTATGGTGTATAATGCAGCATGTATCAACGTGATCAATGTATTTGCCATGTATCTATTTTCTAAAATTAATTTCCTATATTTTTCCTGCAGAGCAAGCCATACTTCCTTTTTATTAAAAGTGATAAGGTGGAAAGCATCAGTTGATAATTTTTTGCAATTTCTGCCAAATGCAACCTCCAATCTTGCATATACTAAAAAAACAGCTGAGAGTGGCTGCCTTAACAACAATTTCTAGGAGGCAGCTCACATGCAAAAGACTTAAAAGGCACCTCTACATTCATGATTAAACAAAAATTTCAGGTCCTAGTTCAAAAATTGTTACCCCTATTTAACTAGTGACATATAAAAACCATCCTTGATTAAGAGAGCTCATAAGCACCTAGAGCTTTACAGCCTCAGCATGCTTGAAAACTACAACTTGACTACAGAGTAAAATAACTACTGAATCAATCCTAAGCGTTCAAAATAAAACTTGATTTCCCAACTATAATGAACACCAAATTGATTTCATTCTACAAGGATTACCTAAGAGAACATTCATAAAGGGATATTAAAGTAAATTAACAACTAAAATCATATTATTATGGCCATTCAAATTTCATGCAAGCTTTCCCAGTTACAACTATATTGATGAGAGTTTTATAAGAAAAAAAAAAGTCCGATTGTATTGATTTGCAAATGCAAATTGCATCTTGCGTGTGGAGAACAGTCACAGAGCTGGAATGCACAAGATCGTACCTGCAGAGGTACCTGGCGAGCTTTAATTGAGCTTCAAGCTCAAACGTCGCTGTTGAAACCCTGAAAATGTGAAAAGAAAAAATTTATCATTTAACGAATATCATGTTTTTGAGAAATAAACCAAAATTCGTAATTCCTGTGGAAGTGAAGGATAATATTCAAAATTATCTAGAGAATGAATAAATTGAAGCGGCATCTCAGGTCTCAGATAAAATTGCCATAAACCCGGCCTTACAATACAAGCATATTGATATCTCCATAAACAGCAAAAGATAGACAACCACTCGCAACATGCATTTGCTAAATGGCATGAACTTCATCAACTTCAACCGTACAATTTAACGTCAGTAAAAAATTATTCCCCACCAATCAGTGACATTAGCCTAACGAAAATGGGATCCATTGTCGGTGTTACTCCTAGTTTAGTTAAATATTTCAAATTCAAACACCAAAAAATGTTATTTTGCATGTAGCACTTTTCCCAAACTTGAAATCAATTTGATCAATCCTCTTGCGGCTCAGCTAAAATAGTATTTTTCTAACCAGACACTTAAGCATGGCCAAATGTTTCAGGATACCTTAGGGGACAATATTCACACCATTTTCCTTGTTCAATTTAAATTTTACAAAAAATTAGTTGAATGTCTGTATCTATATAATTATATTGTTCGTCTTCTTGCTAATTAAGGATGCACATCAGTATATAAATTTGGTGTTCATGCATAAACATGTGAAGATATTTCATTTGTGTTTGCATGACAAGCATAAATGGATAATCCTAATGGTAATAATATAGTTAATAGACTCGTATATGCATATACTACCCTATATCTCATCTAGGATGAATAAAGGTCTAGAATTTTTAAAGCAACATAAATGACGTGTAATATGAAAACACAAAAGACTTACAATTCATTGGTTCTTAACTCATAATTGAAGTAAAAACTTATCAATTTTAATTTAAAGATAACAAGAATGGTTCATTCATTCCATAAGATAATTAATGACCCCTCAAAATCTGAAATCCCACAAGAAAATAGTGGAAAATATTTAAATTCAGCAATAATGAAGAGCATGCTTCAAAAGAAAACACAGAACATACCTTACTTCACGAAGTTTCAATCACTACACAAAAACCAGTAACTAAACATTTAAATCAACCAAAGAGAAGAATCTGCCCTCACACCGGTGCAAGTCCCCCCTCTCACAAGAAGAGAAAAGTTGAATGTATATCTCAATATTCATTATTCAATAATTTTTACAGGCCACAGATGTTCCATCTATAGGATTTATATAATTCAAATAAAGTTACTACACAATTTAGAAAAATAGACTCATAAACAAGAAGTTTCAATACATCCAGTGAGAATTTCAAAAAAAATTTATAAGTTCCACTAAGAAAATAGGAAACAAATTATTGTAAACAAAGGATGGCAGAAGGATAGCACATTGACAGCAGGCGTGATATGAGATAGAGAGACATAAATATAAAGGTAAAGTGGTAAACAAGCATGCGAGACACACAACAAGAGCTAGTAACCAAACTAATAAACAAGGTGGCAAAAGACAATGATATAACCAAGCAGGCAAGTGGAAATGGTATAACAAGATGCACCAAAAGCAATAACAGTTGGAAGGCAAGAGAAACCAAAGTGAAAATTAGGGAAACATGATGATAAACAGAAGATTTAAAGGCAACAAACAGAAACAACAAGAGCGAAGTTTTCAAATCACTAAACAAAATGTGATGACAAAAGTTGTGCTTAAAGCAAAAAAGTGAAGAGACAACTTCGGGTAACAATTTTCAGCAACTTAATGACAAGTTAAAATTTTCAGTTTTCAAAGAGCAAAAAAGAAAGATAAAAAAAGATAAAAATAAAAATACTCGTGCAATTGAGCAACCAGTCATAGACTAATAGATAGATGCAGTGTGAAGCGAGTGAATATGCGGCATTGAGAAGCAATATCAAGAAGAATCATATGAACGAGAAATTGCTAGCCAAAATTAAAAAAAAGAATCGGTGAGAAACGTATAAATAAACTAGCGAGCAAGATAGTGTAATGAAAGAAGCACCAAGAAGAGAATGAAGAACCAGTAAGCAGTGAACCATAGGCAAGCTATGCCCATAGCCAACGCACCGCTTCGCTTTGCTAAGCTCCTAAAACATGTGAATAGCAACGAGAATAATAGGGACAACAGTGGAAATACATCAAACACAGTGAAAAATATTCCTGAGGTGAAAAGTTTTAACTCCATATGTTCATATTGAAATTCCATAGGCTAGGTCCAAAACATTCCATAAGATACTACCTTTAATTGAATTTTCAAAATGTTCAAAAGAAAATCCCTTTAGTCAAAAGTTGACATCATATGCATGATTTACATAGATTAATTAAAAATAAAATAAAATACCAATGATAGAACTCGTATAAATCTTTCTTTGGTTTTGATGTGAATATAATTTCAAATTTCCATCACAGCCAACAAACACCATATGCAGAGTTTAGTTTGTCATAATATATATGTATAATATTTTGTAGGTCTTTTCATGCCTTCGTGTTTAATCATGGCATATAATGGTGTTATATTTCATAGCAATTACTATGACAATTACACATGGCATACCATCTCAAACTTATTTCTTGTGTTTAATCATGGCATATAACGGTGTTCTGTTTCATAGCAATTACTATGCCTATTACACATGGCACACCATCTCAATCTTATTAATGAATCAATGCACATTTTTCCAACAAAATATCACTTACATTCCTATAAAAACAAATTTCATTCATTTAAACAAGTAAGCCCTCCTTGTTATCAAATATGCAATTCCAGAATTTGGCAATTTCTTGCGGCTTTACAAAATATTCCTCAAATGCAGTACAGTTTTAATTTATGAAAAAAACACACTGCATACTATTGTTGATATCCTTATCTAACTCCACATCCTCTCGTATGATGCACAAGAGCTGTTTCTTGACCTACTATTACCATTGTTATGTAAATTTCTAATTTTAATTTCTAGCGGATTCAGGTTATCTTTAAGAGTAATTAATACCTTGCCTTCTGAACTCATCATCAACTGCCTCTGGTCAATCATATTCAAGAAAGAGCTTCGTATAGAATTTTATAGATTTTGTTAAGTTGCTGCATCAAAATATTGTTTACAAGAACGCCTAAAAAATATATGGTGCTAAACTTATTCCTAAATGTCAAAATAAATAGAATAAAGAGAAATATTCCACATGCTCCAAGCACTAGATATAATTGAGAAGGACTTTAAATCTCCTAACAAAAGAGCTATAGAAAATACTCTCATTAATTTATCTCTAATATGAAGCCATGTTTTATCTTAAACTAAGTATTCAAAAGAGTAAATGCATATCCACAATTTTGATGCATCTATTAGATCAGCAATACATGGTATGGATCAGCTTCAATATAAGTAAGACAATAGACACACATGATTTCACGCATTTTAAGACATTTGATCATCCACCTAAGACCTTGAATTTTTTTCACAATAGAGGATACAGATTATAAAAGCATGGACTTCTATTTTTTTCTAGTGCAGTATTTCAAATGCTTGTGATCTTCATAGAAGTAGGGTATATTCCGCAATTCCAATTACATTTTTTTTTTCAAATGTAAATAACGGTTCCATTTGGTCCTTAAAAAACTATAGAATCTAAAAACTTTAGTCGCTGCCTAATTTAGGTGGAGATAAAAATTAAAGACATGGTTTGAAACTCAAACAGCAAAATAAATTGAAAAGAAAGATAAAAGAAGGCATTTTCTAGTCGATACACCCAAGTATCAACATCTAGAAAATTACTTTTTTATCCTTTTTTTTTTCAATATATCTTAATGTTTGAGCGTTTAAAATCCAAGCAACTCCATTGATTTTCCTCTCCAAGTTTAAAACCAAACAGTATCCAAATTTAATGGATCATGTAGTTGTTTTAACACACTAAATTCATTCATAATTTACAGTAAACCATCGACGTTTTCCCTTGAGAAGTTTTTTATCCTTCAATTGCTCTGGACTCACACAAACATCATACAAAAGTGACAATATTAGAACTACAGAAAATTAATAGTTTATAAATAATGTTTTTGGAATCATACACCCAGAGAAATTAAATGCAGGGCAAATCCAGCCCAACATGCATGAAAAAAGTAAGCACTACTGTTTCTGCTATCAATCAGTAGCCAACATGATGATCTGCACCATAGGAATGAATTTAGGGGCATTTACATACATAGCGCTCAATTCCTACGTATTTACATATCTAAAACTAAAATTCTGCTTAACATTTATACCACTCAAATCTTTAATATGACATCAAAAATACTACTAATTTAACTCTTAAAAAGTGGAATACACCTTTTTATGCATAGGTAAGGTCGCACACAGGTAAATATTGATGTTTGGGTGTTAAATATGTGAATACATGAGAATTGAGTGGTATGTATGTAAATCTTCCATGAATTTAATACACTAAAGCCTCAAAATCAAAACGCAAGAACAATTTGTTATGTCCATGAAAAAATTATCCACACTTGTTCAGGGTAACTGTTAGCTACCTCTGTGCGTTATCTTGTAAATATGACCTCTTATAAAGTTGAATGACACTGTAATAGCGATACTTCACCTCCTCCTCTAAAAGAGAATCCCTTTCATCCATCCGACCAACCTGCATACTGCAGCAAGTCAAGCCATCATGCAGTTCAGGATTTAAATTTGCAACTATCAACAATGTCTTCAAACAATACCCCCCTTTTCAGTCAATAACAAGATGTGTTAACCCATTTGGAAAACAACAAAATTAAAGAAACTTACATACATACCACGAAATTCTTATATATTTACATATCTTTCATCCAAAGTTTGATATTTACACAACACCTTGGTGTCATAAGCATTTGCAGGAAAAGGTGTATTTCACTCTTAGAAAGGTAGTGATGGTGGTATTTTTTATGTGATATTAAAGATTTGAGTGGCACACATGTATATATGAATGTTAAGGCGTTTTAGATATGTGAATACATAAGAATTATGTGTTGCATATGTAAATGCCCCAAGAAGTTAATCAGAGAATTGTTAGTTCAAATGAAGTACTAAAACACTTCCCTATTCACTAAAAAATTACTGAATTCCTCATCATTATGTTCCAAAGTTTACAATGTACTATAGTAGCATAATGATCTCCACTACATACCAGCAATGCACAAACACTGCCTTCTAGAGCACCAGCATGCCAGAAAATATCTCCAGTCAACCTGGCCAGTTCTATTGCAGTAACAAAATGTGCATTTGCATCAACAGGTGATCCAGCTAACAAACAATAATCTCCTATAGTTTTTTGTGCTCGAGCAAGCCTCCTCTTTTTAGCTTTTATCACCTGGATTTCATTGATAAAACCAGCTTAGTTAACGCCAGTGGTTTGAAACATATAAGGACTCCTAGGCATTCTTTCAAATAAACTCATAACTACTGAAATGACATGAAGATCAAACCTCCTCGGAACTTAAATTGGATTGGGAATCTAAAGGTGTCTTCAAGATAGTTCCAGTAGACTCTGCACGAAGAACCCATTTTTCAAACTCCATCAGCAATGTAGCAGCAACATCTTGAATCATTGTCAGCATCTGAAGTTCCTGTGCTTGTTGATCAGCAGAAGGGAACAAAATAATACTGTTTTCCTTTTCTCGTCCCTCCCGTAACTGCATTTAAAACAGAAATAACAGAATTAGATAAAACTTAAAGCTAGTGAAGAAAAGACATGAGGTTTGCTGCAAACAAATTCAAGACATGGTTGGGCATGCTTTCCGAAAGTCTGCATATTATCTGAATGTATAACAAAATCAAGTAAAGATTAGTGGTCAGATTCATTATCCTTAGGTGTCATTTTATTATTTGTCAGGAGTAAAAAGATAATTTGCCATCTTGAACATGCTTATATGTATCTAGTTAGTTGAGTTAAAATGTCCATAAAAAAGGTTACTAGTATATGAGTTTTGAAAAAATGACTTCGTTTCATATTCTCAACTACTAGTCAATTATCACTAGCTCTCCCTCATAGCCATGAGACCCTTTTTTCTCTTGACACTCATTCATCCCCACTTTTCAACATATTCCTTCTATCGACCTCCTTGATTTTTTCCATCCACCAGATTCTTGCCTTCACATTGAGAAGTCCACCACAATCAACACATCCTCTGCCCTACTTTTAATCAAATGGTAGCAGAGATGGATTCATCCAACTTAGGAGTCTTCCAAGAAGAAATTAAAGCACAGTTTGGTTTACAGATTTCAAAGAACATAAAATTACATTCTTCTCTCATGGACCTATTTGACTTCTTTCACCATACACCCTCCAAATTCCAAGCCCCAAACAACTCCTCTCAACCCTAAAATGACCAAAGCCTAAAATCTAATTGGAAAAGCATGCTTATGTATTTTGCAATAAGCTCTTCCACCTAACCAATTCAACTTAAATCTCAACCATATCCTCAAAAATCTTACCTAATTATCCCTTCAAAAAAAGCATTAAAAATTCCTAAATATAAACAAAACTCAATCAAATTTAGATTTAAATTTAAAGTCTAAGCAAACCCATCCTATCATAATCTAGTCAATCTTCAAGGTAATCGTGCACCATACCATTTTTGGTGAAAATATCAACCTCTTCTATGCAGTAATACAAATAAATTACCCAATCAAGTCTATTTTCTAACCCCTAACTCTTCCCAATTAAACTCAATCATCCCAACTAAATAAACAAAAAAATACTTGACCTCAACCAACTATGACTTGTGAAAAACAAAGTCAACTTTTAATACATTAGTATTTTGATTAGTTCAAATCAATCTAGCAATGCGTATGAAAACCTCCACAATGCCAAAGAATCACACCATATCTAATGGCAAAATTCCTAAGAATCGCTGAGAATAATGATCTGTGATGTTATTTTTAAAAAGTACAATCTTCTTTGCTAACATGCTTTTTGCTCTTTTTCAATTTTATTGGTTTGCATCAAAACAGCATGCCAACTAAATGAATTTTTTACATAACCGAAACAAGCATAAATATGTTAGAAAGCTTACATTCGATTCCAAACCTTCCTAAAATAACCCAATCCCAACAAAACGACCACAAGGATTAGAATTTGGTAGACCGGCAATCCCACATTTAGCAATGCTGCAACAAAAAATAGACAAAATCCAACACACCTGCTCATCACTAGGTGAGAATGCGAACAATCGCTTGGCGAGCGCGGAGCCGTAACCCTTAGAGACGGAAGCAAACTGATCAATGACAAGATCCAGGTCCGGAGAAGCTGGGCAGTGACAGAGGCCAATGACGGCGAGGATCTTGCGATGGGCCTGGAAGTCCTCCCAGGGGCTAGGAGGAGCACCCCCAACCATGTACTTGAAGAGGAGGCTGCCGCTTTCCCATGGTTGGTGTGTGAAGGGGCTCTTCTGGTGCTCCGAGTAGAAAGAACTGATGGATGAGAGATCGATCCTCGTGTGGCGCGATAGCATCGAAACGTATTCACGCAGCCACTGGTGAGGGATCGAACCACCAACAGGGATAACGGCGATGCGGATCATAGAACCTGTTTCGATGCTCACATCAGGCTCCATCGCGGCGTCTGCGAAGGAGGATGAGGAAAGCGAGAGTTCGTCCCGCTTTTGAGATCGATCGGGTTGTCTGAATGGAGGAGGAAGATAGTCAATCGGTTGGATCGGGTCGGATTCACCCAATTGACAAGAGTGTCTGTTGAATCTTGTTTTATCTTCAAATCACACCACCTGAGCTATAGAGTGTAATACTGAAAGAGAGAGATATGCACATAGAATGAATCGTAATTTATAACAAAAGCATAATATTTAATCATAGAATGATCTACTATTATAAAAAAAAAATGATATAATATATGAAATTACATTTATGTTCCTATTTTAGTTGGGAGCTATACGGATTATGTTAAAGTATTTTTGCAAATGCTGGCCTAGAGTAGGGTTGCTCTTTGGCTCAACTAGTTGGACTGGCGAGCCCTTGATAGGCGTTGTCGTTCTTTGGGCTAATAAAGCCCTGGTAGATGTTGTTGGTTTGCTAGGTTCATTAGGCCTTTGTGGCATCGCCGGTCGACTAGGTTCGATAAACTCATACAAGCGACTCATCTTTTACTAGTAAAGAGTTGACAATATATATTTGGTTGGCTAAGTTTTGTAGATCGGTTGGTCGGGACACCACGCAGATGATGAATCATCTTAATCTGATACGTAGTCACCTTTAAACGAATAGATCCCCAGCGATTGCTAAGACTTGTTGTCATGATGACTTAATGATATTTAGGGAGACTACTAAAAGTCTACCGTATAAACGTAAGACCCGAGGGGTTAACTCCTCCCTTGAGTTGATTTCAACATGGTGAATGGCTCAGAATATCTTGTGCCTCACTTCTTGTAGAATTGCTTGGTTTCGAGTCATTTGATTGTCGTAATTGGCCTTTGCCTTGATATGTCTAGTCAAACAATTTTGCCTTTGGGTCTTTTGCCGGTTGACCCTCTCTTGATATGATTTTTCCTGTCTGGACTGCCAGATCTACCTGATATTCGTGCTAACACCTTTTCAGTGTACAATGAGAAATAAATTTTAGGAAAATTTACATATATATACCTATGGTTGTAATCGAGCCGACTCGAGCCAAGTATATCATAGTTCGAACCTAGCTGTGTATAATTATAAGTTATTCATGCTCGGCTTGAGCTTGTGTCGAGCTTTAATATATTGTTCAAGCTTGACTTGTTTAAATTTTTTAACGTTTGAACCTGATTTGTACTTGATTTGCTTAGGATAAGTGAACAAGTTTTTAAACTAGCTAATAAATGAGCTAAAAATTTAGATGAGTATCAAGATTTTCATGCAAAAAAATAATAAATAATTTTACAAATTTAATAAGAACTATTAATTTATTGATTAAAAAATCTAAACCCTATAATATCTGAAATCTCTTTTCTCTTTCATTTTACTATAAATCCCTTAGTTTGAGGTCGTTTAGTAGAATGATTTGTCTAACATTTAAGCATGATTTAACCTAAATCCTATCAAACAACTAAAAAGGATAACTTTAAAATTTACATAAAATTAATATTTGAGTGTTTATATATCATCGAGCTTCATATCATGTGCATAACAAGTTACTTGTTTATCAAACAAACGAGTTTATTTGTGAACATAAATGAACAAATTTGACTACATTTATGTTTAGTTCATTGAAGCTTCGAGATTTAAAAAATTGCTCAAACTTGTTTATTTACTAATTTGAACGAATATTATCGAATCTTAATCGAGCCGAGTTCGAGCTGTTCATCAAGTGCATTGATTCATTTACAGCCCTATACATACCTCTCAATTTAAGCATCTATATATGTAACATCGAAACTTCACTGTTTACATGCAAGCATGAAATTTAAAAAAGAAGTTCACATCCATACAACTCGTTTTATACATTTACAAATCTAGCTCCTTATTTTTTTTTTTTACATTTATGCCATCTTACATAAGTATTAAAATGTGTACTTCATTTTTTAAAAGTTCAAAGACAGATTTACATTTATACCACAAAATTGTTATGTATTTACGTATATAACACCTAAACTTCAATTTTTACATACACACCACCTTACATATGCATCAAAACCACTTTTTAAAAAAAATTAAAACAATGATATATTTTATATGATAAGAAATATATGATAAAAAAATTTAACTTTATATATTTATTTGGAGTATTAATTTGTCAGCACTCCTTAAATATTTGAAACATTTACATACATACCACTCAACAATATACTTATGTGCGTACGTATCTAACAATATACTTCGATACACACACACACACACACACCATCCTGCATATGCCTGACAATATTATTTCATTTTTTAAAAGTTAAAATATAAATATTTTTTTAGTTGGGTCACGAATTAAAATTTTAATAGATAATTTTTTTTACTACAATTGTAATATTTTTATAAAATATTAATACATTATATGAAAAATTGTAGAAAAATTTTTTACATACATTGAAAAATGAACTGATGCATGGAAATGATTTTTTTTTTTTTGGGTTCAAATATCTCAACAAAATTTTAGCCCAAATAAATTTCAAAACTATTACCATTTTTTTACATAAATTCAATACAAAAAAAAAATATATATATATATATATATATTATTATACTAACCTTAAAATAAATCTAAAATTAAATATTTCATTTTGATTAAAAGAACTATTAATTTATTGATTAAAAAATCTAAACCCTATAATATCTGAAATCTCTTTTCTCTTTCATTTTACTATAAATCCCTTAGTTTGAGGTCGTTTAGTAGAATGATTTGTCTAACATTTAAGCATGATTTAACCTAAATCCTATCAAACAACTAAAAAGGATAACTTTAAAATTTACATAAAATTAATATTTGAGTGTTTATATATCATCGAGCTTAATATCGTGTACATAACAAGTTACTTGTTTATCAAACAAACGAGTTTATTTGTGAACATAAATGAACAAATTTGACTACATTTATGTTTAGTTCATTGAAGCTTCGAGATTTAAAAAATTGCTCAAACTTGTTTATTTACTAATTTGAACGAATATTATCGAATCTTAATCGAGCCGAGTTCGAGCTGTTCATCAAGTGCATTGATTCATTTACAGCCCTATACATACCTCTCAATTTAAGCATCTATATATGTAACATCGAAACTTCACTGTTTACATGCAAGCATGAAATTTAAAAAAGAAGTTCACATCCATACAACTCGTTTTATACATTTACAAATCTAGCTCCTTATTTTTTTTTTTTACATTTATGCCATCTTACATAAGTATTAAAATGTGTACTTCATTTTTTAAAAGTTCAAAGACAGATTTACATTTATACCACAAAATTGTTATGTATTTACGTATATAACACCTAAACTTCAATTTTTACGTACACGCCACCTTACATATGCATCAAAACCACTTTTTAAAAAAAATTAAAACAATGATATATTTTATATGATAAGAAATATATGATAAAAAAATTTAACTTTATATATTTATTTGGAGTATTAATTTGGCAGCACTCCTTAAATATTTGAAACATTTACATACATACCACTCAACAATATACTTATGTGCGTACGTATCTAACAATATACTTCGATACACACACACACACACCATCCTGCATATGCCTGACAATATTATTTCATTTTTTAAAAGTTAAAATATAAATATTTTTTTAGTTGGGTCACGAATTAAAATTTTAATAGATAATTTTTTTTACTACAATTGTAATATTTTTATAAAATATTAATACATTATATGAAAAATTGTAGAAAAATTTTTTACATACATTGAAAAATGAACTGATGCATGGAAATGATTTTTTTTTTTTTGGGTTCAAATATCTCAACAAAATTTTAGCCCAAATAAATTTCAAAACTATTACCATTTTTTTACATAAATTCAATACAAAAAAAAAATATATATATATATATATATATTATTATACTAACCTTAAAATAAATCTAAAATTAAATATTTCATTTTGATTAAAAAAATCATTAAAAAAATCCTACCCGTATTTTTTTTAAAAGTGACGTAATATGGCTCCCAAAAAACATCTCACCAAAGCATTTTACATGTTAAGTATAAAAGTTTTAATCACACTTTACACAAAAAATTATCTGCACAAATCTCGAGATAATCTAACGATCTAAATTAAAAAAAAGGATGATGAAAAGTACAAGACATCATGAATCTGACCCAACCTGGACACGACAGAGTGAATGACCAACCAACCGCCCTCACTTAGCCGGCCAGCCAACCTTTAGCTAGTCACTTCCTTTATCCAACCGGTCGGCGACCTCTAGCCGACCACCCTCTCTCTAGCCAGCCGGCCGACCCCCTCTGCTCGGCCACCCCCATTTACAGTCGACCGACCGTTTATGGTTGGTCACCCTCATTCAGCCAACCATACCAATTGGTCACTGACCAAAAGACTAAAGTATCACGTATGATTCTCCTTAAAACAAGAGTAATTATGTATTTTATACTTTGCCATCATATCATCTATAAATAGGAGTACCCTTGCATGCATTAGGGGGCTTTTCGACCCTCCTCTCTTAACCTCTCTCATGTTTAGGAGCACTCTTTCTCTTTCTCGATGTAATCAGTAACTGCACAAAATAAAAAAGGGCAGAGGAGAGCCTGGAGACACCACTCTTTGCCCCTATGGAACAAGTCTTGTTGTTCTCTCTCCCTCCTTTCTTTCTCTTCCTCTTCCTCGGTCTAATATGCTTTATTCATTGGCCATGATCTACATGACAAATCCGGGTTCAACACTCTAAAAAATCCTAAGCGTGAAGTATGCCATCAACAAGAAGAGCAACTCCAAGGAGAGAAACTCTTGGCAAAGAACAAACAAGGGAAACTTATACAACAGCAGATTCAAGAGCCTAAAAATGTCAATTCCGTTGGTCTTTCAAGAGACTCTGACTCAGAGGCAAAAACCCATCTTGAATGAACAACTCGCGGCGTTCACTTAAAGCGAGCATGGAGCATACTCTTAACAAGAAGAAGAGCAACACTAAGGAGAAACTCTTGACAAAGAGCAAACAAGGAGAACTTGTACAATAGCATATTCAAAGCCTAAAAATCTCATTTTCATCATCTTTAAAAAAACTTGAGCTCCCAGACGAAAACCACATCCCGAATGAACGGCTCGTGACCTCCACTACTCCACTCCCTTCTAATCTCGAACTTTTGGATTCACCGCCCGCGATGTCCAAGAAACTCCGTCTCTGTCCCCTATGATCTTCATGAATCTCTTAACAACTCATCAAAATTGTCACTTTTCTCAATAAATCCAAACGAAGATAGAGGACTGGGTGTATTCTCTCCACTCTAGATTCCTATGTTGTGCCGCCCCTGCATCTCTCCTCCGTCGTGCGGAGATCTCACTGATCAACCGCCTCACCACGAAGGTCGTCCCTGCTTTTCTCCTTTGTCGAGCGCAGATCCCGTCGGTCGGCCGACAGCCTCTCCATGAAGGTCGCCCCAGCGTTTCTCCTTTCTCGAGCGCAGATCATGTCGGCCCGCCGACAGCCTCGCCATGAAGGTCGCCCCTGCGTTTCTCCTCTATCGTTAGCAGGTCTATCCGACCACTGACTGGTCGACACATATATAAGGAATGATTATTTCAGTCTATTTTTGCAGCTAAAACTCTTTCTAAATACCCGATAAAATTGATGAAGAAGTTTAAAAGTATGAGATTGCAGGTGAAAAAATTTCTAATATTTTGAATTTCAAATAAATTCAATAGTTGCTTATTTGCACGAATTTAAGACAATTATTTTTTGAACTATGCTTTCTACATCTAATCCATTTTAATTTCTAATATTTTGAATTTCAAATAAATTCAATAGCTGCTTATTTGCACGAATTTAAGACAATTATTTCTTGAACTATGCTTTCTACATCTAATCCATTTTGCACGTACTCATGCAACTCGGATCTGAGTAGAAAAACCGACAGCGATACCAAGAACGTTTGATAAGTTAAAAGTATGAAAAACGATTGACAGCGATGCAAGGTATTCAATTGACATTAAAACAAAAATAGACCATCAACACCAAGTGTAGAAAAACTGATGTCTCTAAAGTCGACATAGATAAAGCTCTGAAGATGGTTCCCTACCAAGTAGCAATAAATTCTACGAATAGTACAACGCAAATCACACCAGTAACAAGAGTTGGTGGCTACCCCGACGAAAGCAATGACAAGATCTGCTTAAGACAAATCGAAAGGCACGGCTCGACAGAGATGACGACCCAACCGAGCAAACAAGACACAAGCACTGTAAGACTTGTGTTGGGTGATAAGTACATCAAAATGACTGATGATCTTTTCCAAAGATCAGAGTCATCAATCAACACCAATAATAATCATAAGCAACTTTCGCGGAGAGGTAAAAGATTGAACAAACTGAAAACTTCACTTCTTCTTTCCATAATAAAAACTTGCAAATTTTCCTTAGGTTTCCTTACAAAAAAACTTCTTTACAAAAGTTTGATATACTTCACAAATATAAAAGAAGATAATAGAAAACATGCACTCTAAGTAACAGATCAAATCGATAGTTAAACTGTGTCAGCCGACCGACAACATATACAAAATAATCGATTCAGAGAAAACTGCTTTAGAGCAACGAGATAGCGCAAAAGATGTCAGAACGGAGCGTAGAGAGCGCCTAAACAGATAATATTGTCAGTAATACATGTGATCATATTTTTTGTTTTATAAATTTTATTTTCCTTATTGTAGTTGTCATTATTAAGAAGCAACAAAATCGAAAAACTTAATATATATACCGAAAAATGGTCTACAAAGATCTCATGAAAATCTAACAACCCAAATAAAAAAATAAATGACGAAAAGTACAAGGCATCATGAACCCGACACAACAGAGGCAACCGAGTGAATGACCGACTAGCCACCCTCACTATAGCCGGCCAATGAACCTTTGGCCACTCACTTCCCCTATCCAATCGGTCAGCCACCCCAATTTCCAGGAGGTCGACCGCCTCCAGTCAGCACCTTCATTCAAATGGCCATACCAACTGGCCACCGACCAAAAAACTAGAGCAACCCATACGACTCTTTTTAAAGCAAGGGTAATTATTTAATTTATATTTTGCCCTCCTATTTTCTATAAATAGAACTCTTTCATGCATTATAGAACATTTGGACCATCTTCTCTTAACCTCTCTCATCTAGGAAGACTCTCTCATTCTCAACATAATCACTACCTTCAAGAAATAAAAAGGGCCAAAATACGAGGACATTGCTCTTTGCCTCTATGGGCAAGTCTTCTTGTTCTCTCCCCCTTATTTTCTCTCTTTTCCTCTCCCTCGGTCTAATGCACTTTATTCCATGGGCATAATCTACATGACAACAAATATGGGTTCAATACCCACATTGAAAAAACAACTTATATCATTGTTGTTTAAAACCCTAAGCATTGGATAATATAACCAATAATTTGAATACTACAAAGATAAGTCAGTTTAAATGAGTGGTTTCAAATTTTTGTGTTAAAGAATCGAGTGGCATAAATATAGAAAGCAAAATTTAAGTGGTAGATATGCAATGCATGAGAATTGGGTGGTATGCATGAAAATGCCGCATATTTTGACGATGACCTAACTATTATTTTATAGCAGCTATTTTTCAGTTTTAAAATAATCCCCATATTACATGAATAATTACATGCAAATCAAATAATATACAAAATCGCTTGTCTCTCTCTCCTGATGTAAGATGAAATTGTGGGAACATGTGTGCAAATGATCCTAAGCAACTTATTATAGCCCAGCCACTACACAATTGTTTATGCAGTTTGATGCCCTGAAAAGATAGCATATAAAAAAAATGAGTGAATAAAAAATATTATGATAAGTTCATAAAACATCATATTCATCATATAGGCCCTTAACCATTGTCTGCTCCACAGTCAAAAGCAAAGTTTAAGATAAAAAAGAAAGATTTACATGCATACCACCCTATCACTATGTATTTTTATATCTAAAACTTAAATTTTAATTTTTATATTGCATGGAGATATATATATATATATATATATATATATATCACCTTTTAAAAGTTAACATAGTTGTATTTTTTATGTGAAATGAAAGTTTTGGGCATTATAAATGTAAAAAATAAAAAATCTAGGTGTTAGATATGTAAATTCATAGGATTGGGTGGTTTACATATCTAACACCTAAACTTTATTATAGTTATATTTGACACCTCACTATGCTCGTAAAAAAGCAAAAAGAAATCTAATTATAAAGCCGAACACAAGCTATTCACGAAAATTAAGCTAAATTGCATACCATTGAGCAGAAGGGTGAAGCTTTAGCTGCTGGGCAGCATGATTAAAACAGAATGCTCAGGCTTATGGTCACATTCGAAATCAAGGTGAACAAAGGCGCGCTCAACCTCTGGAAGTTGCTCAATCTTGACCTGCAGTGATTCTCCAATAGAATGAGCTTCTTTGAGAGGCAAGTCTTCTGGTAGCTCAATGTCAACCTATCATTGGATGTAATTTTAAAAAAATTAAGATAGGAAGAATGGATGATCTCTATACTACAGATTTTGTGAAAGAGAGAAGAAAAATTTACATACCTAGCACATAATTCTTATGAATTTACATATCTAACACCCGAACTTTCATATTTACATACATAGCAGATAAGGGTGTTCTAGGCTTGTACATAAAAATGAGTACTTCAATTTTAGAAAAAAAAAAGATAACAGCGTTATTTTTTATGTGTGTAAATATGACAGTTTAGGTGTGCATATGTGAATCTAGCACTTTCATTTGCTTCTCAAATTCTCACTTAAATATCAAAATTCATGAGAAAACCCCAACTCATTCTTTTTTTATTTTTTATCAAATCCTCGATGGCTTGATCATTTCAATGTGTAAATGCACCGATTTGATAGTCCAAAAAAAAAATCATGTGTGCTAGTTTTGTAAATAGCAATGTTTGGAGTTATATATGTAATTATCTCTATATATTACTCTAATTAATTACAACTCCCAAGGCAAAATAATTAAATGACATACCTCCACGAAGTAAAGAACTCCGAATGTATAAGCTCGAACAGTATCAACGCGTTTAATTTGAGGATCATGTCTTATTACGAGATAGGTGAGCTTTTGCAACATCTCAGGAGGGGCTGATTGACCGACCAGGGAGACTGTAACATGGCATCAGCATAGAACTTCAGTAAACAGAAACTCGCTATAGATAAAAATGTTTTTGCGGATAAATAAATCTTAAGAGTTGGTATGCATGTTAATAATTAAATACTTGTGGTGCCATTTTTATGTGATATTAAAAATTTTAGTGCTGTGTGTAAATATGAAATTTTAAATTTGAGATATGCAAATACATAAGAATTCTGTGCTATGTAAGTAATGCCCCAACAAGATATGCATATCTTTGTACAAACTGAGTTTGCAAAAATAATCTTAATTCACAGAAAGAAAATGCAAAATCTACACAACATAGCTTCTATTACTGCTCATGTTTGATGCAGAAATATTACTTATAGGTTCCAAGTTTCTCTACATGCTTCTCTTAAAGCTTGTCATGCTTGACAAAAGAGCTTTAAAAAATGAGCTGCGGACTATGTTCATTTTGTATTGAGTAAAATTGCTTACAGCCACTCAAACTTTAACTATCAATGGAAGTAATACTTGGGAAAAATGAACTATCGATTTTTTGTATTTGCATATGCCACAACTGTTATTATGTGGGCCTCATTGTGTCGATCAATTATAAACTCAAAGCCCAAAATTTGGCTGTTTAAACTTGACAATGAGTTTGCCGGGAGTTAGGGGGGGTGGTGTGCCCCCCTGCATTGGGTTCGGGGGCAAAAAAAAAAATTATGTATCTGCTTCCTCAACGCCTGACCAGCAGCGCCTCGCATCGGACCAGTAGTGCCCCAACGCCCGGAAGATAGCACCGTCGCGCCAAATCTAGGTTCAAAACCTGAGAGCACAACACTACATTGCTCGGATGCATCACTGCATCGCACATTTGGAGTCTCGTAGCGCCACTATCGCAGCGCCCCAATGCCAGTAACCGACTGAGTAGTTCACTTGAAGTTTCAGTTTTGCTTATTGGAATTGTATTGGATTTTGAATTCTCTTGTGCAAAGGAGAGAAGAAAAGCAACTTGGAGTGTCTCCAAAGTATAGAGAGATTTGAGTGTGATGTAATTTGTGTAATTCTCCTCATTTGCTTCATAGTGGATTTCTTGGTGTGATGTAAATTCTTGCGTTTTTCCCATTATCGGGGTTTTGCACGTTAGATCTTGTGTTTTCTTTGTTTTCTTTTCTTTTCTTTTTTTTTATATTTTTTGCACGCTTCTATTTAAAAGTTTTTATTCAGATCTCTCAAATTTATTTATGAGATTTAATCATCTCCCAACACAACAACGAACTCATTGAGAATTCAATGAAAGCGAAAGATATAAATTGGGACTTTGTTGTGTTTGTCAAGATTTGGATGGTGTATTTTAAATGGAAATAGTTTAAGTGTTAGTGAAATAGCAAGGAAAACAAAACAAAGTTTCAGGAGCACCATAGACAATTTCTTCTTTGAATTTTCATACATACCCTCATACAAGCAAATATGGCTAGCTAACATGTGCTTAACCAACCTCTACTCGTGCTTAAGCAAATCATTAAATAAGCGCATCAGGACTCAAAACTTAAGATGTGTAGCATTGACAACCGTGCTAAAGCTGTTCAACCAGTTAACATAAAAGCTTAAACGCAAAGGTTGCAGCGTAGGCTAATTTCACACTATATAACAAAAAATTCTTATGTATTTACATATTTCACACTGGAATTGTCAAGCATGGCACTTTGGTGATTTAAATCTATATATGAAAAGGTGTACTTCACATTTAAAAAGTGATAGCAGCGCGCGATTTTTTATTTTATATTAATGATTTGAGTGCTATGCGTGTAAACATGAAAATTTAGGTGTTAGATATATAAATACATAAAAATTATGTGATATCTGTGTAAATGCCCCTAAACCTAAGCTGATGAATCTTCACCATTAAGTTGATGCTTCTTCAGTCAGCAAAACATTGGGTAACTCTAGCACAAAATTTAATTAGTTAAGAATCATGTCCAAACTGGCAGAAATATGTCAAGAGGGAGAAATAAAGAAAATAAGAAAAATTAAGAAAATAAAAAACGTAATTGCAGATTTGAAGCTTGTGAATGAAAGTCTGAGGCTTGATAAACATTTAAGTGGAACAAATATATATGCAGGTAAAGAGGAAGAGGAACAAACCATAGATAAAAAAAATAAAAAATAAAAATAAAAAGACAAATTCACGAAAAAAGGTAAATAACTATGGATTTAGTTGAAGCAAAACCAATGCCTAATAGAATTACAAAGGATAAAAGATTAGCAGAATATGATACATATAACAGAAATACAAAAGTTTAGCAATACTAATGAAGTTGAGCTGGTGATAATAAAGGATAAAAGTACTAATATTTGAAGCAATGTCACTCACGAAATATAAACAACAGCTCAAATCTGGTGCCATTTCAATAATAAGATTAAAGGAATCCACAAACAATGAATCAAAATAACACTCATATTTATCATTTATGTGCTTGTATATGGAGTCTCAAATATTGAAATAAATGCTTTGTTTTAATGTTATCTGCAGTATCTGGAGTCCAGACTCCAAGATGAAACAGAGCCAAAACAAAGTTACTAACATGTACACAAATAGCTATGAGAGAAGCACTCTAGAAAGACCTGCAACAAACTCTTAAAAGCCTAAACATTGAAGTACTTCTTGAAAGGAAGATATACATACATACCACTCAATTGCTATGTATTTACATATCTAACACCAGAACTTCAATTATTACATGCATAACATCTAAGTATGCATGAAAAGGTGTATTTAACCTTTTAAAAGTTAGAATGGGGGTATTTTTTATGTGATACGAAAAATTTGGACAGTATAGAAGTAAAAAATAAAGTTTAGTTAAATATTTAAATGCATGTAAATGCTCCTTCTTGAAAAGGGTAAACCTATCAATTCAAATATTTAAATATCAGGTCATCAAATCAGTAGAAAAACCTGCATTTTCCCAGACAGTTCCTGACCAATTTATAATTGTATAAAGAGCAAGTACAATGGCTCCAGCAGGGTCAATCCACCAATAAAATTTATCACCAAGAATGGCAGCAGCCAAACCCACAACATTAGTAACCACATCAAAATAGTGATCCTGTATAAATATTTATAAAAAATTTAGAACCACCCATGCAAGAGAATAAACTATCAGAAAGACGAATAAAGATTTGACAGACCTTTGCATAGGCCCGAACAATATTGTTTCTGGATTGCCTACAATAAAGCCACAGAGCAAGTTTCACCACAGTGGCAGACAACATGATTGAATACAACCAAATCAATTGCACAGGGGACATCTTTTCAGAGGGTTTATTTGCTATCAACTGTTCAAGAGCCTGAACAAGAATTTGGAAACCTAAATGAATGAAAGAAAATATTGTTAATTTAGCATTATTATGATCATTATATATATATATATATATATATTCAAAACATAAGATGGGAATTTAAATACACAGCATACTATTCTTATGTATTTACATATCCGACACCTAAGCTTTAGAATGAAAGAAAATCTGTATTTAGATTTTTTTTTTTTGTAAAGCAATGATTAATTACTTTAGGAGAATTAAAAAAAAAAACTAGGAAGAAAAATTTGATAAGCATTTTCAAGATAACATATATCCTATTGATCAAACTATTTGGCATAAACAAAATGAAGAGTCTTTTTTCATCCATCCCACTGAAATGTCCAAAATCAAATGATGGCGTTCTTTTGTCCTTTTTCTACTAGGACTCACAACTATACAGTAACATTTTATCCTTCTTCATGCCTTTCATTATCTTAGTATGAAGAACATGGTAATGAGAGTTACTTGTTGACCTTAGAAATATATTAAAAAGGAAAAGAAATTAAAATATATTTAAAGCTATAACTACTCCCAATCTCTATAGTAGTTCTATTTCTAAAATCCCGGTCGAAACTGCTCCCGCTCCATTCATTCCCATATATGATATACCTACACCTAGAGTACCTGCAATCGAAATGAATCCTCATTTCAGTTAACAAAACATATGGTTCGAGCGTCTTAAACACTGAAACCACTTCTCTGCTTCTTCTCTCCTAGCCGTATGTGAAGCCCTTGATGCACGCAATCCCTCCTCTGCTAAGCCATGCTCGCCCTCTTCTGTTTATCCATTTCGTCAATAGAAATGTGGCTAAGGTAGCTATGAAGGCAACGACGGCATTGTTGCATGTGAAGGCCTCCGAAACATCCAACTTCTCTATTCAATCTTTCGCTCCAACCATTTTTACTGCCTTCCTCCTCGTGATATGATTCATGAGCCAGTCGTGACTAAAGGTAGCAAGAAAGCAATTCGAGATTACAACGTACATAGACATTCGGAAATTTCCATCCCCTCTCCTTTGTCTCCAAACAGAAACCCTTGCGATACTTTCGCTGAGAAGCAACGGTGTGATCGTAGAGAATAAGGAGCTCTAAAACTCCAAATTTCCCTGCCCGAAGCCACACAGCTCCTCCATCTTCAACTCCCTCATGATCCCACTCCTCTATCTCATGCAACTCACTTGAGAACAAATGAAGAAGCCACAGCCCTATTTGGCTGCATTCGGCTACACCGAAACCTGACTTCACCATCTTGGCTGCAGCGGAGGCACCCTCAATCTCTGCAGTGGCTGAATTAGATCTGGAGGTTGTGTTCATACTATCAAAGCGTGAGACAGGTGACGAATGTGAGCTTTACAAGAATAATGTGAAGCCTCTTAAATGTGGCCGCAAAGTCGAAATTCTCACCGAGAGCCTCAATCACAATCAAAAACACCATAAGAAAAGCTCTTCTCCAGATTTGAAGCAGGCTGATAGAGGTGAGTATAAAAGGGAGGATCAACTTCAGCAATTGATCGAGAGGGCAAAACCATTAGAGAAGTTAGAGACTGAATACAAAAGGTTTCTTAATGGAGAGGAAGAAGATAGCAGAAGATGCTTTGATAGATAATCACTTGCAAGTTAGACCTTTTGGAACTATTTTGGCTGATGGTGGAGCAGGTAGACTGCCTACAGAGAATGCTGAAATTAACAGAAAGAATAGCAAGCCGCTCAAAAGGATCAATAATAGTAAATACAAATCAATATATAATGATGAAAACACAGGAGCAAGTTTTTCATCAATGAAATTTGATACGCCTCAGCACCAAAGTCAGCAAACAAACCACGACGAAATCGGAGTAGATAGGTGGAAAAACATAAATAAGGGTTGTTCTTACAAAAACAAGCAAGGCACAAAGTTAGTCTACTATTCGAGAGGTAGATCTTCTCTCCCACACCCTAGACGTCACTAGGAACATCATAAGAAGAAAGAAAACATCAGCCACAACAAAACTATGCATTAATAAAAACCCTAGGTTCTCCCCTTAATAGAATCCCTTCCCAACATTTCAAAAACTTTCTTTCCTAACTTTCCCTCCAAACTCCCTTAATTTCTCCTCCTTGCATAGGTGATTATGGCCCTAGTGGACCACACTTCTCCCTTTCCTTCTTCTTCGACTCTCCCCGTTCACCCTGCTCCTGTCTGTCGCCAAGACCGACCCGTTTGTGGACCGGTTATGCTATCTTCAGCTGGTCCAGGAAGGACGGGCTCATTTCAACCGGTCCAGGGAGGATCAGCTCCTCTATAGGCGTAACATTAATCCCCTCACAAAAAGACTCATTGTCCTCAAGATGGAAAGATGAAAACTGCTTGTGGATCACCTCGTAAAGCTCCTACATTGCTTCATAGTCTAGTAGCCCCTTCCATTTAACCAATACTTCTTTTTCTCCCCCTACTCCTTGGCGCACTCCTTCGATCTCTAATGGCTCCAAAATCACCTCCAAGTCTTTTGTCAACGTCGGTGAGTGTAGTTGAGGATGTATGATCCCCAATCGTACGTCTCTGTTGTGACACATGAAAGACTGGGTGTAGTGCGAACGATGGTAGTAACTTCAAACGATAAATCACTTCCTCGATGTGCCTCATCACTTCATATGGTCCATAGTATCATGGTGAAATTTTTTCGCTTCTTCTGGCCAATATCTTTTATGGGTAGGGTCTCAGCTTCAAGTAGACCACGTTCCACTAGTTCAAACTACACCTCTTCTATGTTCATCCAATATCATTTTCATAATTTATTGAGCTCTCAGTAAATACCCCTAAGCTCTACTAATATCGTGTCCCTCTCCTCTAAGTATCGATCGACATTGGATACTGATATGGCGCCATGTCAATAATGTACCAAGTGAGGTGGATCCCGCTCATACAATATCTTACAATGAGTGGTCTGTGATGCGGTGTGGTATGACTTGTTATACCAATATTCGGTCCAGGGAATCTACTTGACCCATAACTTCGATGTATCAGAAACAAAACAATGTAGGTATCTCTCAACATTCCTGTTGAACACCTCCATCCATCCATCAGTCTAAGGGTGATATGTTGTGCTCCTCTTGAAGACTGTCCCTCGCAACCTGAATAGTTCTTTCCAGAAGTAGCTGAGGAACGATTTGTCTCTATCCAAAACAATTGATTATGGTACTCTACGCAAACAAACCGTTTCCCAGAAAAACACCATCATGACCGAGACTGACGTGTAGGTATGTCGTAAGGAAATGAAATGTGCATACTTACTCAGAGAATCCACGACCACCATGATCAACGTGCACCATTCTGACCGTGGCAATCCCTCGATGAAATTCATCGTCACTTCTTCCCAAACCTTTCCCAATAATGCTAATGGTTGTAGTAACCCTACTAGTATTGTGGTCAAGTACTTGTGTCGCTAACATGCATTGCACTTTGCCACCATATCCTCGACATTTCTACGCATCCGCACCCAATAAAATTCTACCACCAAACTGTTGGCATCAATTTTTGATGTCACATGTGTGGGATGTCTACATGAGCTAATTGGGGCCACGCTTCATGCATATGTTGTTTCCCGTAGCTCGAGACATCCGGTTGAGATCATCTGACACGTGTGAAGGGCACGCGGCCAGAGTCGTTCTGTTATACTTTGGCTTTCGCTTAAGCGAAGACCAGTTGTCATTCTGCTCGTCGGACGACTCCGATCGGATCAACGAATATTATGTGCCACGTCATGCGAAAAATTAACCCGAATTGGCTTGCCCACCGGAGAACTTGGCTGGATAACTTTGGATGATGCAACGAACCACACGAGTGCGTCCGGAACGTCAATTTTTTCTAGGGAGGACACCATTTCGCTACAGCTTCGCAATCAGGCTAAAATGTGTGAGTTATAATTTTAGCTCAATCGTCGTAAAGGTTGTCCGAACGATCACGGATGACGAAACAGACCACACAAGTGCGTCCAGAACATCAATTTTACCTAAGAAAAACGTTCATTTCACCACATAAAATGTGTGAGTTATAATTTTAGCTCAATCGTCGAAAAGGTTGTCCGAACGACCACGGATGACGAAACAGACCACGCGAGTGCGTCCAGAACATCAATTTTACCTAAGAAAAGCGTTCATTTCACCACGGAATAAAAAAATATTAAATAACCCTATTTAAATCTTACGCACGCGACTTCTCCCCCCGGCCACAATTCGTGAAAACCCTAACCCCAAAAGTTTGCCACCTTCGCTCGACACCCACCCCCGCCGCCTGGAGCCCGCCCCAGCCGGCGAGATCCTCAGACGCCGACGTCCTCCTCCACGCCGGCGTCCTCACTGGCAAACTCTCCCTCATGTGGTTGCCACTCTTTATTCTTTTCTTCTCCTATTATTCTCGGCCAACCCCGCCACCGCCCCCTGCTCCTCTCCTCGTCGGCGCCGCTCTTCTAACCTCCTCCTACGCCGACACCTTGCTGCTGCTGGTCCGAGCTCTCCCTCTCCGACCTCCTTTTCCAGTCCGAGCCTCCCTTTTGCCGGCCTTCTTCCTTGGTCGAACCCTCCCCTTCGCTTCCCCTCCCGCCGGCAAGGTCTCCTCTGACGTGCTTCTTGTCGGCTAGCTGTTCTCCTGCCTTCGATGTGCAAACCAGCCACCTCTTGGGCCAAAGAAATGTGACCTAGGGCATGTTTCGTGGCTCCTTCGTCGGCGATCCACCTCACCGACGACCACCTCCTCTTCACTGACATCCTTCTTGGAGACCTCGCTGTCTCTTCATTTTCATCGGGGTGGCAACGACTTCGTAGCATGTAGAAGCCCGTCCAATCCCTCTCAAAAAGATACTTTTTTTGTTATATTTTCATATGCCCAAATCAGCTATTTTTTGGTACTTTACATACCTCTCTTGCTCACATTGGCTATTTTAGGATCTCTTTATCTTCTTGTTGTTGAGCCCCTTTGAGCCATTTTGCTTCTTGACTTCGTCAATATCATTTTAACGGTCTGATGCCA